AGGGCTGCAGCCCTGAGCGGTGGCCCTCCCCCTGGGGGCAGGGGCAGTGTGCTAGTGGGTGTGGTGGGTGGGCCCTTGGGACAGAAGACAGGCCGTACACACCCAGCCCCTGCTGTGCCTCCAGTGAGACCTGCTGGCCTGCTGGCCACCTCCCTGTGACTGCGCTGTGCTGTCTGCAGGAGATAAGCTGGAGTGGGGTCCTCCACGTGCCTGTGTGGTTGTGGCTTTGCAGGGGTGCACATTCACTCCAGGGAGAGAGACCATCTTGCTTCCCATAACTTGCAGCAGACCTTCAAGAGGGTTTGCATCCTTCAGAAAGCGTTGGGCCCACCTCTGAGTCTTGGCTATCCTGTTACATCTCCAGTGGCTGCTGTGGCCTTCCCTGAGGTGATCTTCAGGGTGTCAGGGATGCAATGGGACTGCTGTCCTCCTCTTGGAGGGCAGGACTGGTTCATGTTTGCTGACTGACACACAGCAAGAGACAAAGAAAAGACAGTATTTGCACCTGCCTCTCATTTTCTCCTTACTGGGCAAAAAGGACCCTGTGTTCGGCTTCCTTCTCTCTGAGTTCAGCTCAGTGCGTCTTCTCCAGTATCCTACCCATCAGCCAGAGCTCTGTGTCCTGCAAGGTCCACAGCTGGAACAGGCGGGAGGCAAGCCAGGCGAGGGACAGGGCGTGGCTTGCCAGAGGATGCAGCCTTCCACAGCTGGTCATTCCAGGGTCCAGTGAGGCCGAGCAGAAATCATCTCCAAGGCCACAAGTCTCTAATATGCACCCTTGGCCACTTTCCTATCCAACCTGAGGGCCTCCCAGAGAGCTTAGCCCCTGAACCGAAGGTAGAGGGTACCCAAAGACCTTTCTGTTTCTCCAGCCTCAGAGAACTTCATCAGGAGTTGCTGGCTGTTTCTGCCAGCCTTCCACCTGGCATTTTCCAGCCCTCCGTGTCAGCAGGCCCAGGTCCCTGGGAGGGAGAGCAGGTCTTCCTGGGGGAGACCCCCTCCCAGCTTTCCCGGTCCGGGAGCTTGGAGCCTTCCTGATTGTTAGGCACTCAGGCCCCTCCTAAGCACACACTGAGTAGGAAACTGGTTCCCTCCGCTGCCTGTGGCAGTGTTTCCATGCAGCTGTGGGGACAGTGACAAGGTCTGTGAGCTGTCAGCCTGCCTCAAGAGCACTCGAGAGCCACTTCATCGAACTCCTCTTCTCTTTCCAAGGCTCTTAACCCACTCGAGTGGTGGGGAGGGGCCTGAAGGGGGTGGATGGCCACTTGGGCAGACAAGGGAGCCCCAGCTGGCCTCCTCCTCAGCCTCTCGGCCTGGCTCTCCTATTGGATTGGAGGTGAGGGTAGGGTGGGAGGGACCTTCCTGAGGCTGATCTAGCAGGAACCCCAACCCCCACGGCCCTCTCAACAGAAGGGTTGAGAATGAGCAGGAGCCCGCTCCCAAGAGGGGAGCTATCTCTGCTGATGACTTGGTCTTGGGCTCTTTCTCCTGAACCTTAACTCTGGGCTTTGATTTGAACCTCTTTACTTTACAAAGCATTTACACAACTTGTCTCATTTAATTTTCACGACAACCTGGAAGCTCTGCATGGTAAGGGCCATCGTGCAGAAGAAGCTGCTGCGACTTGGAAAGACGAGCGCTTTGTCCAAGACCAGACAGTGGGTCACAAGTAGACGGGGCTAGAATGAGGTCTTCTTTCTATACCACACTCAGTTGGCTACCAACGGCTCGGGGCCTTCAGCCAGGTCACACTGTTTCCTTTGGCGAATGGGGGATAGAAGCAGCAGACATAAATCCTCCAGGGGCCTGGCAGTGACAGAAGTCAGCTGGGACATCCTTCTTCCCCGTTCCTCGGCCTGCTCTGGGGCCAGGGCGTCATCTATGGGCTGCTCAAAGGCTTCTCTTGAGGTCTGTGTGGTCAGAAAGAGCTGTAATAAACTAAGATCTAAGGGCCAGAATGATAGTAGCCGGCACTGAGCCTCTTCCTGCAGGCAGAGGTGGCCCAGGTCCCCTGGAAGGGGCCGTTCCTGGCCCTTGGGAAGCTCAGGAGGACACCTGGAATGAGTCTCTGTTCAGTTCTGCTGAGCCCCAGGGAAAGCCATAGAACAGAGGCTGAGGATCCAGGGTCACGACTGAGCTGCTGTCTCCTGAGTCAGTCACCTATCACAGGGCCCAGTGGTCCTCACCCCCAGTGTTCATGCTCAGAAGCAGACTAGCAAGAATGCTTTGGTCAGCGCCTCACACTGGGACCTAATGCAGCCCCCGGCACATGGCAGGTGCTTAGTAAATTGTCACCTGGTGCAACACGATGGCACCAAGGATTCTTTCTGTGCTGCGATGGCCCTGGTGTCAATACACTTTGCTGAAATATCAGTATGGACCCAGAGCTATGCTTTCGATTTTAAGTATGGACAGCACAAAATATTCCACAATGGTAGGAAATGACCATGCCACTGGTTTGTATAGTTACTATACCTTTTTTTGGTTGTTTTAGAATTACTTACAGAAATAAGAGTTTAGTATAAGGCAGCATGCCTAGTTAGGTCAGCGGTAGAACTGAATGATAACCAAAGCGCTAGAGCACATCATTTTTTTGGTGCATGCTTGGTTTAATCTCCTATTGTTTTGCCCCTCATGGACCTAAGAACAGCAAGCTACTGTGTGTGTGTGTGTGTGTGTGTGTGTGTGTGTGTGTGTATTTCACACAGTGTAGGTGTGCAGTACGCCACACCATCTAGTTTTAATCACACTCTTATTGTGCACGGTGATGAAATTGCCTAGGAATACAGGTCTCTTACCATATACCTGTCATTAAGTGGCACCTGACTAGACTAATAAAGTGAAATGACAGAAACACCTGTCTGCCTTGTCTTGCCATGGGTTTGGTGGCCTCTGGTGTAGAGTCTGGGTGAGACGGTGGGACTGGGCTGTGGCCCACGTCCACGGCATGAGCAGACGTAACCATCTGCCAGTTCTAGAACCTGGAAAGCAGGAGGGAGCAGGTGGGAGTGTTTGCGGGTCCTGGTCCCTCCAATCTGTCACTCAGATGTGGGAGAATGTCGAGGTGTGGCGGGAAGTTCCTGTTATAGAGCAGTCATCCTTGGAAACCCATGTGGCCCTGCTGTCTTCTGGGTGGCCCTTCCCAGCACACATGGCCCTGAGCTACCCTCTGTGGAAGCTCTGTGGCTCTCAGCAGCCGGGGTCCCCTCTTGCCAAGAGCAGCATCACAGGTCCTGGAGCCTGGGCCAGAGCCTGCCTGTCACTCAGAGGCTCTGCGTTGTGGGGACACTAAAGGGCAGTGCCAGCAGCCTGCTGCAAGCTGACAAGGCTGAGCGCACATCAGGGCCGGGGAGCCGACAGGACCATCTGAATTAAGTGGCCAAGTTTAGTTTTTAATTAAGCCCCCGTGGTCCTTTAAAAAGGTCACTGATGACACTATGTTCTTTAAGGCCAATGTGAAAAGACATTCAAAGTCAAAGTTCTGAGATGGGAGCCTTGTAACTGGAAATGTCACAGGAAGAAATTTGGAGTGGGGGAAGGGGGAGCTGGTGGGAGAGACAGCCCTGTCACACTGTCCTGCCATCGGCCTTGAGGTTCCCACCTGCAGCTTCAGACTATTTTGGTCTCAAAGTGCAAGGGGTCCACAGCTCCCTGGTGCCCCCTCCATGCCTTAGGAGGTCTTGCAGAGTCCTGTGTTCCCAATGTTCGATGCCAGCTGGGATCAATGGGCAGGAGGCGGGAGCCTGCCCTGCTGCCATCCTGGGGAATTAATACAGACGTATGCAGCTGGCTGTCAGGTTTCTGCCTGGGTTCCCTCTCCACTTTTCTACTGCTCACCCAGCACTGGGTGGCATGGAGATAGTTCTACAGCAGCACGGCAGCCACAGGATCTGCAGCAGGGTCTCAGCAGGACCCCACTACAAGAGGAAAGGCCAGGGCAGGCCCACGCACACCTACCTGAAGGCAATCTGGAGAGAAGAGGGCAGAGAAGACAGCGCCTCCTAGGGGAGACCCTGGACCAGCTGGAAGCCCGTGGAGCTCAGGATTCAGCCGGCCCAGGCAGCAGGGCTTTGCTCCTGGGGCCCTGGGCTGGCACCAGCGCTGGGGCAGCAGGGCAGTCAGGTGAATAGGTCAGCACCTCTGGGGATGTGGGCTGGATCAGGGTCCTGGAAGGTGTGTGGTCTGTGCCATCTGATGCCCTGCTGCCAGAGGCAGAGCAGAAATGGAAAGGTCATTGGCTTTAGATTCAGGAAATGAGGCTCCACCATGAGAATATTTATATTTCAGGGTGGCAACATAGCTTCCCTTGAAAAGCCTTTTTTTGAGGGTCTCTATGCAGTTCAGGCTCACCTTGCGCTCACTTTGTATCCCAGGCAGCTCTTGAACTTGCAAGGATCCTCCTGCCTCAGCCACCCAAGGGCTGGGATTACTGGAGTGTGCCACCATGGTCCCTCTCTTGAAAAGTTAGGGGGAGCTAATAGATACATAGTTTTAAAAATCACTGGGTGGGCTTCCTTAGAGAAAGCTGATCCACTTGGGAGCTACACTTATTTTGTGCCTTCCTGTTTTTTTTTTTTTCTGCCTGAAAGCTGTAGCTGATGGCTAGAGCTTCCGCAGCTCTTTTATGACCATGGGGCAGGAACAGCAGCCAGTGCTTAGGATGAGCTTTCTTTCTCCTCCTAGACCTCATGTGGCTTGAATGAATGCCAAGCTAATACAGATCGATTGCCCTCTGTGGTCTCCTTGGAAGGGACTCTGGGTGAGTCCCTAGTGGCTCCGAGCCTCAGTTCCCTCGCCTCCGAGGGCAGTGTTATTCTTGTGTTGCGCCACGGTTACTTTGGACTTCCCGGAGTGTTCAGAGGATTGCATGGTCGCGCGCGAGCAGAGGCTGCCCCTCATTGTTCAGTTCAGCTGGATAATTGTCCCGGAAGCAGGGCTGTGCCTGCCTTTCCACTTCAATGGCTGGCTGGGGGCTGTGACAAAGTCCCCTCGTGGGCTCCCATTTTCTGGAGACACAATAGCTTTCCTTGGCTCCCGAGGCCTCACCCTCCTCCTCTCCGGGTGCGGAGGCGTCTGCTGTTTCCAGCTGCCGAAAGGAGGCTTCAAACAGCCCGCAACGACGCTTGTTAAGACTCTGACTCACAGAAGCGGTTCTGGAAACCCTCAGAAGCTTATTAATCTGTGGAGCCGGCCCGGGAGCCGCGTCTGCGCACCCCGCTTGCAGGGCTGTGCAGCGGCCCCATTGTCTCGGCCGCTTTGTCCCCGCGCTGTCTTGGCCCCTCATGGACTCTGAGGCAGGCGGCCTTTCAGCTGTGCCTGTTCCATTCCCTGGCTCTTTTCTTCTTCTTCTCCTCCTCGGCACCTTGAACTCTTGAAATGAAAAGGTGACCCACTCTTCTGGCTGTTTATTCCTGTCATCCCCAGCACGGCTCTCTGCCCCACCTCGGTCCTCGTCTGACATTTGGTGAGTCCCTGTTGGGCACCTGAGGCCTGAGTAGAAAATTGGTGTCCACCTGCCTTTTCTCCCAGGGAAACTCTAGACCCCATCAAGCTGATGGGAATATGAGCTGGCTCCTCGGGGAGGCCACCCCTCACCCCAGGGCGACACCCCATCTCTCCTGTGGGACTGTGCTATGGTGAACTGGGCCTTGGTGACAGCTCAGGAAGCCCAGGGCTCTGCTCCTGACTTTCAGGGGACAGGCTCTGTGGTAATGGGTTTCCCGGCATGCCCTGTCCCCTGGTTCTCAGCCCTAGGTACTCCTGCATCATCGGCTTCCTGTGGCTGCAACAGAAACCTGAGAGAAGCACTCTGCAGAAAGAGACGGCTTATTTTAGTTTAGCATCCTAGGCTGGTGGACCCACTGCCTTGGGCTGTGGCACGATATGAGGGCACAGCAAAGCCATTCACCTCACGGCTGGAAGGTGACAGATGGAGAAAGACAAAGAGACAGCATCTCATGACCTCCATCCAGGTCACATGCTTAGTGACCTGCGCTCTCCCTCCAGGCCACACCTCTTTTAAAAATGTTTTTATTAGCACACATTTACAGTACACACTGTTTCTATTCATCTTAGGGAGTAAGTACCTGAACTTTGTACTCCCCTTTCCTTTCCTCCCTGCTCTTGCTCCCTGATTCTAAAGCCCTTTTCCTCATTGTCTTTTTCCATTTTCGCTCATCCTTATGACACATACTGCTTACATCACTGTGGTAGTCGGTACCTGTGTGTGACACGTCTTAGTTCCTTTTACACCCCCATCCCTACCTCCCCCACTCTCCATCTCTTGGCCTCCTCCCCATTTGCATAGGATTTATCTCCCTGTTTTCTTTTATTTGTCTTTTCTTTTGCCCTTTATTTACACTTTGTACCTGTTTTTCTGTGGATGGACCTATAAACTGCTTTCAAGGTATTTTGAATTGCACAGCTATGAACAATGGTATCCACATACCACGAAAAACAGACAGTGGATCAGTGGAACAGAACAGAGGATGCAGAAACAATCTCGGCCACATCAGGCCATCTGATCTTTGACAGAGGAACCAAATACGCTGGAGGAAAGACAGTGTCTTTAGCAAAGAGTGCTGGGAAAACTGGCTCTCCTTATGCAGAAGATTGAATCTAGACCCAAGCATCTCACCAACTACTAAACTAAAATCAAAATGAACCAGAGATCCGAATATTAAAACAGAAACACTTAACTTGTTGAAAGATAAAATTGGTAAAATTCTTGAAATCATCAGTGTATACAAGCATTTTCTGAATAGAACTCCAATTATACAAGAGATAACAGCAAGAATCAACAAATGGGATTATATTAGATTAAAAATCTTCTGCATGGCAAAAACCAAAACAAAACAAACAACAAAAAATACCAAGAATAACCAACAAAGTGAAAAGATAACCTACAAAATGGGAATAAAGAAAAAAAAAAGAGCAACTGACATGAATAGATACTTCTCAGAAGAAGTACAAATGACCAATACCTACTGACAGATCTGCTTAAACTTGCTGCTGAAGACTACGGGGCTCAGGCCAACAACAGCCCACTTTAAGGTGTCCGTCTCAGGGTCCCAAGTCCCACTAAAAGTCTCAGGTAAGACATTCTGTATACTTGTGGACATAGAGGCCATATGTACAGAGTTCTTCCTGAGTTTTCAGGCTGCTTTATTAAGTCCTCAATCTCTGTGAAGGGATATTGAGGGTCAATCTATGTCATTTACCAACAGGCCCTATTTCATGCAGGTTCCAGACTGCTGCTCCCCAATCCACCCAGTGGTGCCAAATCTTCCCTCCACCACTCACTCTACAGTCCTAAATCTTAAAAATGCTTTTTATTCCCTTGTGTTTATACATGCTGACCCAGCCACTGAGGCCTCCCCAGCCTTAGGCAACAGCTTACACCTGTTATCGCTAGTAAACCTCTCCTCAATGATATAAACCACCCCCTTCCTTTCTTATTCACCAATTTCTCAGACAACCCTGGTCAAGACTGACAGGTAAATTTTGCCTTCTCACCTTTGTTTATACTTTTTCGGGATACATAAAAGCTTTTCCCACAACTAGGAAAACTGCTGATATACTTACTAAAGTCCTGTTACAGCAAATCATTCCAAGGACTACAACCAGGTTACAGCAACCCATACCTGATATTCTTGGCAACCTCAACAGTGATGGAAGTTGCTAGACTGCCATCCTGGTTTCACATCACTCAGGCTAAGTGGTGCCCTCCCAGCCCTAAATCTGATCATTCTGAGTGGTCATCTCATCTTCTGTCGCCCACCTGTCTCCGTTTCACAAAGGCCTCACAGCCACAGTTCACAGGCTAAGTCATGTTTTGTTAACTAATTTGCTTTCTAATTTCTTATCCTTTTTCACAGCAGGACTCTCAACAGTATTTCCTAAAGACTCCCACATCATGCATACCAGAGACAAGCCTTACCCTCTTAACCTTTACCCTTTCAGATGGGGGAGTAATCACTTATAACTTCACTCCTCCTAACCCCACGTTTATTTTTCAGAATTCTGCCTTACTGTGGAAATGTTTCTACCTCAACAAGGTCCTGATATAATGACATATCAAAATCAAAAGCACCTTTCCTTCTACCTCACCTGGGTCCTTAAATATGACAGTGCCATGCCTCCTCATAACATCTTGTCTCTTTGTTTCTCCAGTCTAACATACGTGCATTCACCAATGATAAAGTTGTCCTGGCTGAAACATCTGGTACCAACTTCTACATGGGCATCAACTGTCATCCTGTCAACTCCCCTAGACCCCAATACAGCGTCCCCTTCCAGCAGGAAACAGTAAAGAAAGAAATCTCCACCCCTTTTCCTAATAATAATAATCGTAAGATGGGATATGAAAGAGTTTTGGCCCCGACAGGACACTGTAGCCAGTAAAGCCTCAAGGAAGTTACCTATGGCTCTATCTTCTCCACCCCTAGGAACTTACCTCTGGCACCAAAATAATACCAATTGGCTACCTGTGCAGCCCTAATGCCCCTCAGGCTCCACCCCAAACCTAAGCTACATGTAAGCCTCCACTCCATGTGTCCCACAGAGAGATCGCTGACCCCAGGGGAAGATACCACACCCCAGGAGATTGGGGGTCTTTCCCCACATTCTTAAAATAAAGGTCATTTATATTTCATACTTCTTTTCAGCCACCACCCCACAATTCTATCACCTACATGACAAAAAATATTCAGTGTCATTGGCCATTGGAAAAATGCAACACAGAGATCCCATCTCTGACAAGAATGACAATTATCGAGAAATCAAATAATAAATGCTGGAGAGGCTGTGGGTCCTGGGGGAAGGAACCCTCTTACACTGTTGGTGGGAATGTAAACCAGTATAACCCCTATGGAAATCAGTATGGAGATTCCTCCAAACACTAAAACCAGAAATTCCACTGCACCAAGCTATTCTCCTCAGCCCTACTTCTCAGATATTCTGTTACCTCCCAGTGGTGCTCCGCTGGGGAAGATCCTGGAGCACTGAGACCTTTGGGAAACACTCCAGATCCTAACTATGGCAACTCCTCTTTCTGAGTATGGACTGGGATAAGTGACAGGTTGCCATTCCTCAAAGAGACTGACTCCCAGGCTTTGCCTGGTTGGCTCACTTCCTTTCTCTGTCACTCCTTGGCTGCTTGCTTGGGTTCAGAAAGCTGCTGGGTTGGAGAACCCACGTGGCAAGGACTGAGAGTGGCCCTGGGCCACTCTAGCCCAAGCCACCTGAGTGGCATGGAGTCACATCTTACCCACTGTGAGCCCCAGCCTTAGACAACATCTTCCGCAGTCTGGGAAGAGGCCCCAAAGCAGAAAGTCCCCTGAAGCCATGTCTAGATAGTTGATCCACGTAAATTGGAGATAATAAACATGGATTATTTTATGTTGCTTATTGATTGACTGCCATATTGGGGTTGACCCTGCAGGTGCTTTACCACTGAGTTATATCCCCACCTGTTTTTATACTTTCTTGATTTCAATGTAAGATCTTCTTCAGTTGCCTAGGCTGGCTGGGCTCTAACTTGCAATCCTTCTGCCTCAGTCTCCCTAAGTACTTGAATGACAAGTGTCCCCAGGATATAGCAATAAATAACAAATAAAAGTCCTTATTAGCACAAGAGAAATCTGTTTCTTTGTTCCCAGATCTGTAGACCTCTCGTGTCCACTAGCCAGCCACTTGGCAGGTACAGGTGCCTATGCTACACACCTACCCTGAGATTTATGGGTGCCTGCAGCCCTTCACCCCTACTCTGGAAATACATGATCAGAAAAAAAGTGGAAGGGACACAAAGTTGAAATAAAGCCCTGCTGAAGCTTCTGTTAGCACTGTAAAGTACAATTTGAATTTTTGTCTGAACTCGAGTCCCAGAATGCTCTTAAGGGATATAGCCATGGGGCTCTTGTGTACCTCTGGTAATTTGCTCTGGCTTCTCAGGTGTTAGAGTCCAGCTCACGCAGCCTCTTTCCATTCTTTGCATTTTTCCTCCCCCATTTTTACCCCTCACTGATCCCCGCTTCAGGAAGCTCAGCAACTGGGGACCTCTATAGGAAATCACCCAGGACCTCTCCACCTTAATCAGAAGCAACATTTCAACCCTCAGTCTCTCCTCTCTCCCCAGACCCCCAGCATTCCAGGAAGCCAAAGTGTGACACTATCTCTCCAATCTAGAAAGCAATAAAGAAATGTATTTACCAAGCAGCCTCCATCTCAGGGAGGGAATTTATGTCTCTTCATGCTCTTGTTGACAATAATAACTGATTGCTGCCTCAATGTGATGCAATATAATTTTAAAACCCTCCAGAACAAGGATCAGAATGCAACTGGCAGAGAGATGGTGCGGGCAGCACAAGCACCTTTGCTTGGGCAGCTGAGCCGGGCCCACTAATGCCCGGATGCGATGGGAACACAGCTCCGGGAGCACCTGCAATCTCATTTTGTTGCTTTCCAAGCACTGGGGAAGAAAAGCAATTTGTTTGCTCTCATACTCTAAAGATGAACTTCCCGTGCTCAATCAAACGTTATTATCCCAATGTAAGTCAATTTACCTTTGAATTTGAAGGCTATTTTCTTCCTAAATGGCTAATTATGGGAGATAGATGGCTGTAAACAGAAGCCTTCTCCGTGACTTCTCAGCCAGCCTTTCTCCCTAGGTACCTACCAGAGGAGAGACAGGAGGCCTGGCCTGGCTTTACCATGTCCCTCCCTGGGCCAGCCGGACTGAACTTGTGGTCATCCATCGCACCTGCTGTGTGACCCCCACCCGGCCTCCGTGTCCCCAGACACCTGTTTGGAGCCTCATCCTCCCCCACCTGGAATTCCGTCCACCCTCAAAGCTCAGCTTCCTGCTGCAGTCTTTCTTCTGTGTGTGTCTCTGGCCCCATCCTCTGTTCTTAAGCATTCTGCACTAAATGTGGCCATCTCAGTTGAGACCTGCCTTGTAGGACCTGGTCAGCATGTTTTAGGAGACAGGGGATCCTGTGAGCACCCGGGCTTGAAACAATGTCACCTGAAGTGGGCTCTTTGATTCTTCAGCACAGCCTGGAAAAGCAAAGCAACCCCAGGCACACTGGGCCACGGCCTTTCTCCGTGCATGATCAACACCCACTAACTGAATGGCTGAGTTTGTTTACCAAGAGGAGAGATGGCACCCTCCTTCCTCGCAAAACAAAGACTTTCCCCAGGAGTGATGGCAGAGAGGTCAGCCCACAGCGTTTCTGTTTGCCTTTTATGAATGCTAGGCCCAGATGCTCTGCAGACAGAAGCTCATTGTGTGCGCACTGTGGGAGGTGGCTCTGGCGGGGAGGCAGTGGCCCTCCGAGCTCTTCAGGTCTGGAGGTGACAGAGCCTGCGGTGTGCAGGGTTATCAGCCAGAATCCAGCTTTCCCAGAGGCCTGGCCTCCGGTCCTATGACTTCTGGCCTGGGCCAGGGAAGCCCTAATAATAGCATCTAACGAGTCTGCATGTGATGCTTCATTTGACCCTCCCAGCTGTCCTGCAGCTTCCCCTCACTTGACAGATGAGGGAGGAGCCCAGAGAGGTCAAGCGCTTTGTCTGAGTTCACACAGCTGGTGTAAGACAGAAAGAGGATTTGTGTCTGAGCCCTTGGGCTTCAAAGCCTCCTCATTCTACCACATTCTACCACAGCTGAATCACAGGGAGGAGGATGCGTGGCTCTGTGGTCAGTGCAGAAGCCCACCGCACTTTGGACCCGCGTCACTTCCAACTTGTAATCCTTACTTGTAATCCCTTTGCCCTGAGCTTGCTCTTCTGTGTGAAGCAGTTTGCAGGCTGGAGGGTAAGAAGGGGAGAGTGTTTTTAAGAACTAGTCTGATTGATTAGCAGGGCAGGAGGATTGCAAGTTTGAGTCTGGGTAACTTAGCGGGACCCTGCCTAAAAAAAAAAAAGAAAAAGAAAGCATAGAAGAGGAAAAAGGGGAAAGAACCACTTTGGTAAAGTTTAAGGCCGTGGTTAAAGTGGTTTGAGGAATCTGAAGAACACTGGAGGTCTGACGGGTGAGGGCCAGAGCACAGTGAGCTGCTATCTCAGACTCTGAAGGGCCCTGGAACCTGCTTCCGGGTGCCCGCCCTGGCCCACCCTCAGGGGAAGTCTTCGTGCTGCGGAAGGGACTTCACACTGGATGGACTGTGACTCTGAGAGTCCCCTTCAGATATCTGCGCTGCTGCACCCTGCATCACGGGAGGGACACTGGGCCCCTGATTGGCTTAGCGCTTTGATTAGATCCATAAATCCCTACCAAGCACTGATGGGCAGGCAATCCTCTGGTGCCATCTCTCAGCATCTCTGTTCTGGAGAGAAGCGTCTCCCTCCCCCTGTGTGCAGCCCCAGATCCTGATGGAGGAGGGGGCAACAGCTGCCCTGAGCCTGGGGAACCCAGACAGTGCTGGCTAAATGCAAATGGGCACTGAAGATGTGGGTTTCGAGCAAGGGACATGGCAGGAGAGAGGAGGAGCATGGGAATCTCCCACTCTGGCCACTGGACCAGAAGGAACATGTGTGCGCTGTGGTCCCCCGAGCAGCTGTGACGGCCACACAGCAGAGTCTGCTCATGGTGGCATCTTCTGTCTGACAGAAGCAGCCACATGGTGGGCAGTTTGCTGGGGCTGTCACCTTCCCTGGCCTTGGGGACAGGCAGCTCTGGATGGCCAGACTACCCTTCAGTCTCACCTTTCAGAGGAACCTGAGTGCATTTTGATCAGCCAGAGTGATGCAGATCATCCGACTCCTTGAAATCTTCTCTTTCTGGCTTATCTCTCTCTCCCCTCTCTCCATCCTTTACTACTTCCGGACACTCGGTAAGATAAGGCAAGGTCCTAGGCGGTGGCAATAAACTGACCAAGCCCCAGCCCCTGCCCTGGTGCCACCTCCTTCGTGTTACAACCACAGTGAGGACCCCGCACTGACCAGGGTGGCGCCTACACGGCGACCACTGTCTTGGTTACTTTCTTCATTGCTGAAACACAACACTTGACACCCGCACTTTAAAGGACAGAAGGTTTATTGCGGCTCATGAGTTAGTTCACAGTCAGGGGGCTCCAAAGCAGGGTGGAGGGGCAGCGGCTCCGGCTCGGGGCATGGCAGCCAAGAGGCAGGGAGAGAAGGGAGGAGCCAGGAGAGAGATCAACCCCCCAGGTCACGCCCTACAGTGACCTCTTCTCACAGCAAACCAGCTCTGCTGCCCTTATAATCCAATCACCTCCCCAAAGTCCTGCCTGTGAATGCAAGAGGCTCTGGTGGATGGGCCGGGAGATGGGCCTTGAAGGTCTGAGACACTGCCCCAGGGTAAAACCAGAGCACTGAAAAGACACCAGCTGCCCTGTGCTCCTGGCCGGAACCACCACTTGCCCTTCAGTGGCACAGGAAGAGCCACTGTTGGTGAACACAGCTTATGTGCCAATGGAGCCCACGTGTGCACGGTGTCCTGTGTGACCCTCACAACGCCTATCATATGGATGAGGGCAGAACTAGCCAGTGCATAGTCGATGGCAGTGAAGGCCTTGGTGGCCTGCTCTAATACCTGTGCTATCTTGGTGGCTGAGGGCTTCTGGTCTGCCTTACAGGTGCATCCTGCAGCTGCAGGGGTGTGTAGAGCATATGGTGCAGAGCCCGGAGCCAGGCTTGGACGGTGCTGTCTCTGAGCTGGGCGACTCGGGTCCTCCTGCACCAGGCACCCGCACTTCACCAGCCTCCCGCATTTGGAGCAGAGCAAGAGACCTCACAGACGAGGCCAAGCAGGGCAGCAAGGCTGGGCTCATCTGGAACTGCAGCGTAAGGACTTGGGGGGCCTCACCTGTGCTCCTCACCTTCCCTGAGCCTTCTCTTGTGTTGGGAGCCGCGGCCGACACCGGTCGCCTTACTTGGCGGACGTAGGGCCTGTGGGTGGGAGCGGAGCCTGAGCTAGATTGCCCCTCCCATCGAGTGAGCCAAGTTGGCGCCTGCTTCCTGCCCCCTGATTGCCCTGGCGACTTAAACAACCCGCTCTGTAAGATAGTCTGCCTAGCAACAACTGATGTTAGCCAGTCAGCCCGCATCGCGCGCTTTGAACTGATTGGCTACTGTTGCCCTATAAAAGTGAATGCCTCTCCCGCCACGAGGAGGAAGCACAGAGAGAGATAGAGAAAGTCCACCGGCGAGAAAGGGCTGGTGACAGAGCGGAGGCCTCGCGGGGCCCACGCGGAGACAAATAAAGGCAAGATTGCACACCGTCAGAATCTGTCGCGTGTTCTTCCTGCAGGCCGGGAGCGACACCGACACTCTTGCCATCAGGGGTAGGAAAGAGAAATCAGGTGGAGGCCATCTCCCTCACAGCGGGACTTGGAGGAGCAGATGAAACGGCACATGGAAAAGCGGCTTGTAACTCTCTCAGGGGCAGATGCACTTATGACCACGTCCTGAACCTTCCCACAATCACAGGCAGTGTGTGACGGAGGGGTGGCCTCAGCCCCTCAGCCCTCTTCGGTCTTGCTTCTTCGGGCTCCTCCTACCCTCTTGCCATTTCTCCTGGTTTCCTTGCTGTCGCCCCTGCCCTGACGTGGGCGACTCGTACTCCTGAGAGTCCCAGTGGGTGAAGGGATGTGATGCAGCGATGGTTTGTGCCTCCTCAGGCCCTGCCGGGATCACGGCCAGGTTTAACTATCTGTGTTTAATGCAGGCAATCAGGGGCTCGCGGTCTTTAGGTGCAGAGGGTGGGAGTCAGGGGACCCCCATGGTCCTCTGGGCTTCATAGCATCCAGGACTGGATTCATGGCACAGAAGGGCACCAGAGAGAAGTGCCTAGGACACCGCTATAAGCAAAGTGGTGCACGGAAAGGGACGGAAGGCTGGATGGAGGGAGGGATGGATGGATGGAGGATGCCAGGAGCGAGGCCCACTCCGAATTTCAGAACCTGTGCTGAGAGCCCTGCTCACTGCCAGCGCTCGGCTCTTCATTTCCCAGAGACAAGCAGCGTGTTTTCATGTCTTCTTGGGTTAATGAAAGTTGTCGGTTTCACTTAATAAGTACACCGCCATTCTTGACCGTATGTATCCGTCATGCTTGGGCCTGGAGCTGCACGTCCTGCCTGCCATGGGAACTGGGGAGGAGGAGGACAGGGAATGTGGTCCCTGGGGCATGCGGTGCCTTCTCTCCAGGGTCAGATCAGAGGTACACAGGCAGAGGGGAGCATCAGTACTCCTCCCGTGCGTCCTTTGGCTCGGGGAAGGGAGGCACTGGGATTGTGCCTTCTGGAAGGAAGCGGTGAGCTGTAATGTGGCCCTAAAGGCTGTGAGAAGGAATCCTGTTGTCCTGACTGCCTCTGGGACTGGGCCAGCTATTCCAGCTCTCTGGGCCCCTGTGTCTTGACATGATGTAGCCTCTGCCTCGCAAGGCTGTTGTGAGCACTCCAGGACACACAGATGGAACATGTCAGTCAGAGTTGGCAGGCTTATTATTTTAAAGTATTGTTTATATTAAGACTCTGATTAGTATAGTGTTGACCAGCCCGGACTCCGGAGCTGCGCTGCCTGTGTTTGGAATCTGGGTTAACACTGACTGACCCTGCGATAGGCATGAGTTCCTTAACTTTTCTGCGTCTCAGTTTCCTAATCTGTAAAATAGGGAGAAATAATACTTATCCAGCCGGGCTGTTCATACAGATTGAACAAATGAAGACCAGGAAGGCCTTTAGGAAAGGGACCTAGCAATGACTCCATAAGCATTAGTAATTATTAACGTCATTGGTGATTTCACAGAGGGCTGGAGGAATCGAGTCCCTGGAAACTTCTGCATCTTAGAGCCACAGGGAGGTCATCAGGCCACATCCCAGGTGCCTCTACACATCCTGGGGGATGATACCGGGCAGAGACCCTGGGCATCCCAGTGTGGGCATCAAGGCGGGGTCAGAACCTGCACCTGAATTTCCAGGCTGCATCACTTTGTTTAGGGGCGGTAGAGGGAGAAGGGGCGGGAGGAGGGGGTGCTGCTTAACATCCGGGGAACCTGCCTTCCTCTTGAACTCTATAAAGGCCTGGAAACTTCTCGGAAGTGCCCCTCATGGCTATGCTTGCTTTCTTCCACACTTTTGTTTTCTTTTTTCTCCTTTTTCAAAAAGCTTAGGCTGCTCAAAAATGGGAAGGGATCTCGGGGGTGGGACGAGCCTGGCTGCCTGAGAGGATGCTGGGGGAGGCCGGGGTAGCCAGAAGGCAGTTTCAGCTGAAGTAAGCAGCTTTGCAACCTGCCTGCCACACAGCCCGCTTTGCCAGGGCATCTAAATGCAAGCCTGCGTGTTCACCTCATTAAGCAATTATCCACTTCCAAGGGGTGTCTCTGGCAGCCTGGCTGGCTGTGGGGCTTATGAGCGGCCAGGGCTCCCCAGGAGGCATTGGAGGGGAGGTGAGTGGGGCCTCTTGCTCCCCAAGTCCAGGGAAACGATGGAGCCCATGGCTGAGAGGCGCCTATCTCTTCCTTTCACAGGAACACACTAAGCCCGAGTGGCAAGGAGGACTCGCTCTGACGCATTTCGGGGTGGCGTGGAACTAGCTGCACGGGTGTGACATGGACCCGACCAAGCTGTGCGTTGCTGCGGGGGCCCAGGCTGGAGAGCAAGGCTGCAGGAACCAGCCCTCCCGGGAAGAGCTCCAGCTGGCCATGACGGCCTCCGTCCACTGGGGGGCGCAGCCTCTCCACAGGTGGGGCGCTCCCCCGAGAGCCGCGGCTCCGCTCGGGCGCCCAGAGATAAGCAGCTCTTCAGGTTCAAAGCACTAAATTGCCATTATTAATTGCTGGCTGTTATTATCACGTAGGCATCAAGTGGCTCCCTCTCCCCTTACAGTCCTAACACCGACAGCCTCGTGTAGCAAGGTCAAAACGCCCTCCCACGAGGGCCTTCTGCACGTAGCCATTTTACAGATGGAGAAACTAAGTCCTCGGTGACTTCCTTAAGGGCAGAATGTATGGAGGGTGGGTGGCTCTCTTTCCTTCCTCCCGCGGGCTTCCTCTCGGAGTGCAGCCAGGAGAACGCACAGGTGAACCGCGCAGAGCCTGCGAGCAGTCGGTGTCACGAGAGGGGCCTGTAGCTCGCAGGATCCGAGCATCGCTGCTGGGCAAGCGCTGCCCCCGCGAGGCAGGGGAACAGAACCGAGGAGGCACCCAGGGGTGCGGCCTAGCCCCACTGCAGCAGCGGGGGCCACGGAGAGCCCACCGCGACCCCCACCCGAGCCTTTCACTCCAACCCCTGCGGAAAGAAGGGAGCTGCTGGAGGAGGGGTGCGGGGGTGGGGGTGCAGCCATGGGACCCGCGGGAGAGAAGGCGGAGGCAGCACAAGGGGCGGGTCCAGAGCCCACCACCACCTAGGCACCTCCCATCCACCTGGCGGGCTCCGGGAACAAGGTGCCGAATCCCAAAGGCGCCGGAGAAATCTAATTAGCACAGCCGCAACTTCTGACTTCCTACGCGGGCTCCTCCTCTAGCCCCAGGCTATCGAGCCGAATTAAGCTTCCTAAGATCACCTCATTAAATTCACTAACCTTGCTTTTCCGCTACATTTAGCCTCCGGTGCCCTTCCTCTGTCCGCGGGAGGCGCCCGGCTGGGGCTCCCCCAGCGCACTCCCAGGCAGGTGTTTTCAGGGGCTCCCCCTCTCTCTCCTCCCCAAAAGGTTCCCTTGGTCACCAAGCTCCTTTCTTCTGAGCTCAGTAATCACCCTGAATGAATCCAACCGCAAAGCCCTGTGGTGGTGGTGGGAGCCTCCCAGGGTCACCTACATCTTTCCTGGTCGAGGGGAGGGTGGTCCCCAGGGTGCTGGGAACCTGGCGGGGAGGGCGGCAGGAGCTGCTCGGAGGCCACGCTGTGGGCCCGCCTGCACCCCGGAACCAACACCAAGACGGGTGTTTCAGCCCTGCGCTTCTGGGACAGGGCTGAGCAGTTCTGATGAAGCCGCGGGGACAGCCAGCGGTGCAGAGAGGGCGAGGTGCACCCCCAGAGCAGCCGTGATCGTGCACCGCAATTCAGGCAGCTGGCTGGGAGCCCTGGTAAACAAAAGAGTCGCTGTAGGTGTGAGCGTTGGGCAGGCGAAACATTCAGGCCAGAGGGGTGTTTATTGTGGAATAGAAATGTAATGCAATTACTACTATGGTACAGGAGAACGGGGACATCTAAGGTGGTGGTGACAGGGCTAGAGCTGCCATCCTGAACTCCACACGGAGACTCAGGGCGAGCTGACTATCCACCCCACCTAGACATGCCTGGGTCACTCTGGCTGAGGCCTAGACTCCAAGAAGGGGGACTGGGAGGAAGGAGCAGCTTCTGGAAGGCCAGGCTGGTGCCAGAGCCACACCTGTGTGGCCTTAGGCGGCTTTTTTTTAATATCTTCCCTTCGCCTCTTGCCAAGAGAACTAATGCATGTCTTCCCTCAGGGCTGGTGGCCTGGTTAATTGGACATTGTTTATGTGACGTTTATTATTTATGATTTCCTTTCGTCTGTCCTGAGGGTGACTACTGTGACTACCTGGCCAGAGTTCTTCCTGCTTGGGACCTGTGAGAGGATGTCTCCTCCTCTTCCTCTTCCGAGGGGCTTTGTGTCCAGGAGTGGCTTTCTTAAAGACTTGTGCCAGGTGGGAAGGGGCAGGTGACACCTTTGCATTCTGCTCCTTTCTGGAAGCACCTTGGACACTTGCCTAGGTGTAGGAAACTCAGCTGGGTGGACCCATAAAGAGCTTGATTTTGGGTCATCCCGTAGCCTGGCTCTCCAATTTGTCTACTTACTGAAATCTGAGAGCACAGAAAAATAACAATTTGTTTCTCACCAGTGACGCTGATTTTACTGGATGGGGTAGTGACTACGAGTTTTTAAACTGCCTGTGATTGTACTATGCAACAAAGACTGAGACCCATTCACAATTCCAGCTTATTCCTATGTGACATTTTTTCCAATTATTCGAAATAGCTGCTAACATTAATTGAACACTTATTATGTGACAGGCGGAGAAATAAGGATTTTATGTAGCTATCTCCCACGAGTCCTCAGAAAAACACAGGGTTGCTAGGAAATACTGTTATTATTTCCATTTTATAGATAAAGAAACTGAGATTCAGAGAAGTTAAATAAACTGCCCCAAGATCATGCATTTATTCAGCTGCATGGTTAGCTCTGACCTGACTCCAGATCCTGTACTGTGGACCGATGCACAATATGATACCCCACTTCTTTAACAGGAGAATGGCCCTAAGAGGGCAGG